GCATAGAGGGCAGCGCTCATATTGCCGTCCAGAGAAAGGTGACGAGGGGCTCGGCAGGCGCAGCAGGCCAATCAAGAGATCGCCTGAGGAAACCCATGCGCCTGACACCGGTGTAAAACTCGTTCGGTATTCAAACTCTAGTACTTTCAGAAGTCCCGTAAGAGCGTAGCAGCATACTGCCCACCAGCCCCCCCCCGCCCACCCGCCCCCCCCCCCTCGCACAGGAGGGCTTGCCGCCAGACGGCATCGCTAGCCCCCGTGCATTTCCCGGCCGCGCACCCAGGACGAGAAAGTTCAAACCCCCACGCTTGGGCCAATGGCCTTCGGAGTCGGCCCCAAAGCCGATGGGGTCCCGTAAAAATCCCGATGGGCCTGTAGCCTCCTATGGGCCTGGGCAGCAGCATCGAAACAGTGACATGAAGCTGGGTAGACATGATCGAGGTAATCTCCATGATGCGATAGATCTCGAGCAGACATTCCAGGGCGTCGTCCGAGAGCAAGCTCCAATGCCGCATGTGGAAGCCGTCGGTGCTAACGGCGGATCCCCCCGCATGCCCCCTGCTGGTCTTCGCAAGAACCCTGACGTCAGGCAGATCGATTTCAGGGGGCGGCTCGAAATCACAAGGAGGAGGAGGGGCCGAGAGCTCCGCTTTCCACAGAGCCTGACGCCGAGCGGTCCCAGAGGCCAAAATAGATAGGGGGCCCGACACGATAACTTGATCATCGGCAAGGACAGTGGTGGGGGACCAAGCCCTGGGGGCTCTCGTGACCTGGTGAACCCTTCGGGCCCCTTTCGCGATTCCACACTGAATCCATTGGCCCCAAGAATATCCTCCTTTGGTCTTGGCAACCAAGGTTTCGGCGTCCACGGCGGCAGTGATATGCGACAAGAGGTCCTTAGCTGCTGGCGCAGATGGTAACCCTGGAGCGGCGCCACTGGCGAGCGCGTGCACCCGGCGGAAGAGCGAGGCATTTCTGCTTTGGCTCGCTACGACCTGGGCAGGAAGAGAGCAAAAACAGCGGACCTCGCAGCTTCGAGTTTATTGGAACTGCACGCCTGCTGCAATAAATGACAAAAACCGTGAACTTAGAGTGAAGCCATCGAATGGCAAACAGCTCAGGGTGTCTCGGACCTTCCATGTCCATCTCGGCAATGGACTTCCACACAACACGAGGGATTTTCCTGCGGAGCCCTAGGACAGGAAGAGTCGCGTCGGTGGCAAGAACCAATTCATGTTCAGGGAGATCGGCCCAGGATCCGTAAACTCGAGCGGGGTTCTCCAAGGTCGCGAGACCTTGACCTTGACGCGCAACATGCACTCCCTGATCGAGTTCTTGCCGAAGTCTGCCAAACTCAGCGTGCGGCGCGAGCGGGGCCAATTACTCGATCCAGGCCAATCCGCGACGGCTTTCGGATAGCCATGGGTCGTAACGACGCGAGCTGAAGGAAAAGGGGCAGGCAGACAGGGGAGTGAGGTGTGAGGTCAGAGTCCCCGGCCACGGCTACATCCTTGGCGGCCTTGCTGCTAAGGCCGCGGCTCACCAGGAAGTAGTCGCGCAACCGCATCCCCCCAGTGGTCGAGCACGTGCCCGCAACATCAGGAGCCAGGAGCTTTCCACGGGCGACGTCTAGAAACTCGAATACCTGGATGAGGGGGGGGGGGGGGGGGCGCTTTGAAGTCTCCACCCGCGAGCTGTGGCAATCTCGAAGCCGACGCGAACTCGCCCACGGATCTTAAATCGCCCAAGTTCTCTCCTGACATAGCAATGCCGCGCAGTAGGTAGACGCTGGCGACGCACGCAGCTGGGCCCACAGGGACTTGGGCAACTCCGACGGCTCGGCCCCTGAACAGGTCGTGCTGCCCGTGCCCGAGCGGGTGGGGGCCCAGGAAGGCCCCGACGAACATATGGCAACTCCCCCTCGCGCGCCGTCGCTGGGGCCAGGAAGCGCAGGACTCCGGGGGCCCTTCCAATCCTGACGGAGGGCCCAGGCAGACGCTTGATCGACTTCCTCGCGAGTGCGCTGGTGGCTTTCCTGCGAAAGAACAACGTGATAATGGCTTGACAGCAAAAAGGTTTGACCAGGCCCCCAACCTGTGACATTGGCCGCCGCGAAGGCCAGGGGGGTCTGATCGGAATTCTGGGGGGGCCGCTAAAAGAGGCGACGAAACTAAATTGGTACCTACGGGCGCACAGGGGCCTGCATGAGAGCCTTCAAGGACAGGGGGGGGGGGGGGGGGCGGCGGCTTTAGCACGTGCTGTCGCGGAACGCAAAGCCCTCTCCCCCCCCCCCCCCCGGAAGCCCTGCCCAAGGCCTTCCCGACCCTGCCCGAGAAAAAAGACAAAAGACGAAAGCTGAGACGGAGCAGCGGGCGCTGCAGCTGCTGGACCGCCGCCAGCGATCTATGCAGCCCGCTCTCGCACAGATGGGCCAGCCGCCGCAGCAGCCGCTGGCTCAGCTGCGTTAGGTGCATCCAGGGAAACAGCTGGGGCAGGGTCGGGGGCCGCAGGGCGAGCCTCGGCGCCCTCCTCTCCCTCTGCGCTGCCCTCAGTACGCCTCCGCTTGATCTGCAACCTGTTGAGAAGCGTCTTGTGTTCCTCCTTGGCCCTTGTCGTCGCCTCGAGAGCCTGCTTAAACAACGTGGGCGTGGCCTCCTGGAGGCCCTTCTTGAGCTCCGTGACGAGCTTGTCTGCTTGTTCCTTCTCCTCGGTTGAACGAACGATGCCGCCCTCTTCAGCTTCATCGAGAAGGTCGCCCAAAGTGATAGGGATCTCGCTGGAGGGGATACTTTGACAGGGCTCGGCTCCTCCGAAGACTTGACTTGCGCGCGAAGCTGAGTGACCAACTGCTTGTGTACATCCTCAGCTAGCTGACATTCCGACTGAAGACGTCCGACTCAGGTTCGCTGTTCTTCAATCGCCGCCTGCATATCATCAAACCTCGTGACTGATTTGGCCAGGCTGTCTTCAGCCGCCCATCATGAATTTAATGCAGTGGAATTCTGCTGCTGGATCGGCTGATGCTTGCTGGCGGCCCTCTTACAGGCAAGGGCCTTCTGGTAGCTGTTGGCGGACTTGGTGTCCCCCGACCTTTTGAGCATACGGATGAGGGGCTCGATTGCGGATTCGTCCAGGTCCTTGATGTCCACCTGCGTGACCTGACCAGGCTGTTGGAGACCAGGAAGAGCAGGACGAGACACACCAGCAGCGCCTTGATGAGCCTGAGGGTTGGTCCACACCCCTTGCGGAGGACGAACCAGCTGCCCAGGATCTGCACGCGCTGTCCTGGTGGGAGTGGAACGCGGGCGAAGGGCGAGGTAACACACATACTTCCTCCCGCGCTCTGCAGCTGGAAACCGTTCCATCCTTTGCCTCCGTTGCCTGCGGCCCACGGGGCACCAGGAAACGCCATGGCTCGGTGATGGTTGCTAGTAGTCTCCACCAGCGGACAGCCTAGTGGGAGACCGAAATGCTCCGACTAGAGCTCTCTCAACAAAAACAATGTGAAAAGGGAACCTCGTCTGACCAGGCAGAGGAGGGCGAGGATGGGGGCCGCAAATTTCCCTTGCCAGCGAGGTCAGGTCCTGAGCAGAAACGCTACGGACCCGAGCCAAAATGGCTACGGACGGAGGAGTTGGAGGAGGAGGAGGAGGAGGAGGAGGAGGAGGAGGAGGAGGAGGAGGAGGAGGAGGAAGATGAGGAGGAGGAACAGCAAAGGAGGCAGATGGAGAAGCGGGGGGGGAGTAGCAGACGCTCCCCGCCATGGCTGTGGATTCCCCGCGGGTGTCGTGGAAGAGGCGGGGCCGTGCTGTGGAACCTTGGGCGGTGGCCCTGTCGAAAAGCACGCGGCGACGGGTTGTGGATGACTCGTGGGGTGCGGGCTGCCCCTCAATAGGGGGTTCACAGCCTCAGCGGGGGCCCAATCTTAGATGGAACATCGCACGTTTTTTTATGACTACCAGCTGTCAAGGCCAAAAAGGGAACATCACTTTTTATGACGACAGGTTGTCACGACAACAAAACGGAACACCACACGTTTTCAATGGCTGTCAGTTGTTACCGAAAACGTGTGATGTTTCATGTCTGCAGGTTCCACCATCTGGGCGGAGGTTCCCCCACCCACCCCCCACGGTTTCCAAAGCCTCCGCATGAGTTCCACCGCAGGTTCTGCAGACCCCCCGGGGGCCTTTTTGGGCGCATTGGCGGTGGGCCCACCGGGGATACTCCCTGGAACACTCGGGCCATTTGGGCCTCTTGGGGCCGCTCGGTTTTCACCCGGGCGATCTGGTCCAACTTGGGGCCAGCTTGGGCCGCTTGGGGCCATTTGGCGCCACTCCTGTTGCTCATTTCACCCTCCGCGTCCGCGTCCTCCCCTCTCTCTCCTCCTGTTCCCCTCTTCTCCCCCCGGAAGCACCCCTGATGTCTGAAACATCCTCCCAACTCTCTCTCTTTCCGTCCCCCCTCTCCTCCTCGCCGCCCTCCGGGGTCCTCTGCCTCGTTCTGCTCCTCCCTGGCCTGTTTCTCGTCGCCGTTGTGGTTGCCCTTCTCTTCGTCCATGTCCTGATCGCCCTCGTTCTCGGTGTCGTGCTCGTCTTCGTCGTCGCTGGCAACGGCGTCCTCGCCGTCTTCACAATCGTCCTCGTGATTGTCGCCCTCCCCGTCGATGTCCTCGTCGTCCTCGTCATCGCCGCCGCCGTCTTCCTGCTCTTCGCCGCCCATACGACGATCTGATTCCCTCCGTGCACGGCCTGGGAGGTCCCGGCCCCGTCCCCGGGGTCGTTTCTCGTCCCTGATCAGTTGCGGAGGGCCCCGCAACGGGCCCCGGAGGCCGGAATCGACGAAATACGCCCTCGTCCTCGTCGCCCTCGTCCTCGTCGCCCTCGCCCTCGTCGCCCTCGTCCTCCTCGCCCTCGTCCTCCTCGTCGGAGATCTGGGGTCGTCGCCCCCGTCCTCGTCGTCCTCCTCTCGCCGCGCCGCCGCGCTGCCCCCGCCGCCGGGAGGAATTCTGGCGGGCCGCCGAGGCGAGGCTGAGCGAGCAGGCGGCCCGCCGCTCGGGGCCGCGGGGGGAGGGCCCAGGCGAGGAGAGGGGCGATAGTGCAGGGCTCATTTCGATTCCTCCGATTCGATGCGATTCGATGTCGATGGCTTCCGATTCCGATTCGATCCGACTTGGGGTTTCGATTTGGGTTCCGATGTTCTGTTGGAGGCATACTAGCCTGCCGATTTCCACTGATCCGACTTTTCCGACTCGGCTGCCGATTTCTGCCGATCCGATTCATTCCGATCGCCGATCCGACTTACCGATTCGATTCGTGGCCCCTTGATACTGCGGAGGAGGGGGAGGGGGATCTGCGGCCAGTCCGGGGGGGAAGTGAGAGGGGGCGGGCCTTCTCAGAAGGCTCGGAAGTCCCCCGACCTGCCGGGAAGTTTTCGAAGCCTTCCCCGAAGACGGCGATCACTTCTCAGAGGGCCGGGGGGCTTCTGAGAAGCCCCGACGCCTGCTGAAGCCAGGACCGTCGGGGATGGGCGAGGAGGATGGATAACCGGGGTCACCACGAGGGTGCGAAAGTAGTCGCGCTTCGCGGTCGGGGCGAGTCCAGGGCGAGGAACGAGCCCCTCATCCTGTTACGGGAGGGGGCGCGAAAGCGCGACGATAATCTCGTTTCGCGGAACGCGGAGCGCGAAGATAGATGTATTGGTGTAAAGTCGAGGGGGAGGAGGAGGCGCCGAACTCTTCGCCCCTGGCCTCAGTCTGGGTCGGCTCGTTCGGGGTCCTCTTGCTGCTGTGGGCGCGCCCGGGGAGGAGGGGGGGCAGAGGGGCGGGGGTGGCGGGGGCAGGCGGGGACGGAAGAAGATCGAGGAGGGGGCGAGGAGCGGGAGGAGGGTGAGGGAAAGGCGGAAAGAGGTGGAGGAGGAGGAGGAGGAGGAGGAGGAGGAGGGGCCTTCTCTTCCTCATCACCAGGGGTGCGGGGAAGGGAACGAGGGGCCAGGGAGGAGGAGGAGGAGGAGGAGGAGGAGGAGCTAGAAGGAGGGGAGATCGAGGACGGGCGAGGAGAAAGGGAAGAAGACGAGGAGGAGGAAAAGATATCTGTGGATGGGGTGATCATGGTTATGATGATGGTGAACTTCGTGATGGTACGATTGTGTCGTGCCTCCTCGGCTGTCAGGAGCATCCGCTCGCAATGCCCTCCCGAGTGATTGATGTGCTGAGGGGGAGGAGGGCCAGAGAGATCACAGGATGCATAAACTGGGCTGCAGCACGCCATCCCGTGCCCCCCCCCCCCCCCCTACGTCGCCGTGACAGAAGTCTTATGGGGCCTGTGCGCAAGGTGAATGGCGACTCGCGGAGTGGGCGGAGTCGAAATTATTCCGCGCGGACCCGCACCCTGCCTCGTGGGCCTGCACCCCGCCTTGCTTTGCATGAAGGATTCGGCGGAGTACCCATCGGTCGTTGAACATATGTATTTTTGGATTCCAGATGTCAATCTACTTTAAGCACCTTCCTACTTCAATGATCGAGTGGCTTCACCGCTTCTGTCCTCCTTAGGGGGCGCACAGAAGCACACATTTGTTTCAGCGCCTTCCAACTTCATGGTTCTACCTACTTCTTTCTTTCGACCGATGGGTAAGATCCGACTTCGTTTGATATAGCAGAGTTGTTGCTGGAGGGGGGCCAGGCTACTCCGCGGGAGCGCGCGAGCCGCCTCTCCACATCAGGAATCTTCAGAGGGATCAGAGATGGCGACATCAGATCAGACCGCATTGCCGTGTATCCCGGCAGTGCGCCATAAGTCCCAACGTACAGTTCAATATTGCTCGTTACGGGAGGCACCCCCTTTTGAACGACGAGGGCCCGCACGGGCTTTTCATGCAGGCAGAAGCCCCATTCGGGGGAGCGTCCAGATACCCGGGATGGGGTAAGAGGAGGAGCAAAGCCATCGCAGAACGGGAATTCAGGGGTTGGAAGAGGAAATTCCCCAAACCAGCTGCGCCCAGGTGGTTAGTGGGACTTGCTGCGGTTGATCCTTCTTGCACTGGTGCTCGATGGGTGGCGCTGTATGTTGGGCCGTTTCCTGAGTCTTCTCGTTTGTGTCGACGTGTTCTGCGGGTGGGGCTTCTCTCGTTGCGTGGTGCTCTACGGTTGGGGTGGTCTAAGGTGGGCGGTTTGCCCAGATGGCTCGTTCTTCCTTGGGCGATCCGTGACAGGTGCCCCTGAGGTGGGGCTTCTGTGATGGGCCGCTTCTTCCCTAGTGGTTGCTGGGCGGTTCTTTATGGCTGCTCCTGGTGCTCTATGGCGGGTTCTCGATGTCGAGCCGTTGGCTGCGATGTCGTCCTCTTGCACGGGTGCTCTAACGCTATTGTTCGTGTTATTTCATTACGCGGGCGCCGCCTCCAACATGTATTCCGTGACATACGCACCCTGCTGTTGTTCAACCATTGTCGCATATTTGCCAGATTTTTGTGTGATGCCATTGTTTAAGGACATGCCCTGGTGTTCTAGGGATGGCTCCGTGGCTGGTGCTTTACGATTCCCTAAGCGACGTTTGCACTAAGGGCTTCTCCTTTGTCCTGGTAACTTTTTGCAAACATTTCACCTTCCTTTCTGGCGGCATCAGACAGCATCTTCACATGATCCGGCGGCATCATCACAGAGGTTGTACCACATAGCTTCCTCTGCAAAGAGTGGACTTCGAGGGTACAACAACCTGCTGTGTGTGGTGCACCCTGGCAATGGTGTGGGCTTCCAACAACTCAGAACTCCCCTGCCCGCTCTATCGGCTCAGTACCGTTCCGATCGCTTCATGCAGCCAAGACGCTGACAGAAGTATCACTCTGGGCTCGGGGGGCTCTGATTTCGAGGCCCTTCCGCAGTCGTGGCCGAGGCTCGCCGCGGGCAGACCAGCCCGTTCGGTCCCTCTTCGGCGGCTGTGTGGCGGCGCAGGGGGCTCGCCGGCCTCCTCATCGTCCCCTCGGCCTCCTCGTTTCCTCCTCCTCTCTCCCTGCTCGTCGCGGGTGGTTCGCGCGCGCTCCCGACGAGGGCACTGTCGGGCGGGAGGCCGTGCTCTGTCTGCCGCCGCCTGGGGTTGTGTTAGCGCCTGAATGTGTTGCCACTGAGTGTATGCCAGGGAATCCCCTCGAATTCCTCCTCGCCGTCCCCCCCTCCTCGACGGGGCCACCAGAGTGCCCCTGTCCGTGGCCACGGCCGCCCCGCGCACAAAGTCCCAATGCTCAGCTAGACTTGCACGAGCTCAGCTTCGGACCGCGCTATCCCAGGAGTGTGCTCGGCGATGCCCGAGGGTCTGCCGGCCACGGACGGAGATCGGTACAATCGAGATGGGTACGGAGAGAATGGGCACGAAGACCGACAGCAGCTATAGTTCATTTCTAACGGGACTCGCTATCGGTGTCGCCGCGGACGTTGTCCATCTGAGACGAGGGCGCCTGTCCAACGGCCGCCGTCATCGGTTTGGGACAACAGCTGTTGTTGGGCATCGTGCCCATTTTTTCCGTCGGCGCTGGGGTCCCTTGGCGGCGCCTCCGGCGTCGCCCCTGGCGCAGATCCAAGAAATCCGCGCAGACCTTCGAAAGTTTATGTTTATGCAGTTTGTTGCTCCTCTACTGTCAGCCACGACGGGAAGAGCCGACGCCCATACCTCCGCCGGCTCGAGATATTGCCGAGCCTCGGGGGCCCCGGACCTCTCCACCTCTCCTGCACGGTCGTGTGATGGGCACTGGCTGTCATCATCGTCCCGTCATTCTGTGGACGGCCGTAGGGAGGCCCGCAGGGCGGGCCTAAGAGGCCGAGCTCGCAGAAAGACCTCGGGCTCCCCTGAGATCCGACGGTGCGAAAGATGTGCAACATCGCGAAGCATCACGATCGAAGCCCTACGCCATGAACATTTTTCGAGCATCTTTCGAGCCGGGTCAAACTGCGAGGGTCCCAGGGCCCGAAATAGTTAGAAAACGCCAGGCGCGAACAACAATAAGACGCCCGGGTCTGAGGGCTTGAGGACGGCCGCGCAGGGGGCCCGCAAGACGATCCCCAGAGGCCGACCTCGCAGAAAGACCTCGGTGTCTCTATCCAAGTAGCTTATGCCATTCCGTCGACACTCGGCGGAGCAGAGACGTTCAGGGCGTGCGGTGGGCCATGTTCGAGCTGGAGTGGCTGGGTGTCTTGTTCACGCCTTATTGTCGTTTGGACGTGGGTTAGAGTCAAGCGCTGGCTCCCAGGCAGAAGCGGGACCGAACGAGGGCCCGAGCAAACGGCGAACGAGCGAGGGCCAGAGGAAAGACACCACGGCGGAGGGACAGCGACCGAGCGAAGAACCGAGGCCCGAAAACCCGCAGGGACCGCCAAGCAAGGCAAAAAGTTGGCAGGTACTGCCCCTTGAGGGTGGAGGAGGAGGAGCAGGAGGAGCAGGAGGAGCAGGAGGAGGAGCAGGAGCAGGAGCAGGAGGAGGAGGAGGAGGAGGAGGAGGAGGAGGAGGTGGAGGAGCAGAAGGAGGAGAAGGAGGAGGAGGAGGAGGAGAAGGAGGAGGAGGGGGGGGAGGAGGGGGAGGTGGAGGAGGACGGCCTCGTATTTTCGATGCTCTGGAGGCCCTGGGGCGCGGCGCGAGCACAGGGAGGCCGCCGCCCGCGGGCGATGATACTCCCCCCGCATCGCCCCCAAGAGGCGGAGGAGGGCGCGGTGCTGTCCCTGGACGAGGCGGCCGGGGACCGGGGGGCCGTGCCCGCAAGGGGGGGGTTCGACTTGAAGCAAGAGTGGCCTCCTCGGGTCATGGGAAAGCGCGACGGGAGGTGCTTGAGCATTTTCGGCCTCTGGGGGCCCTCGCCGGGCCCCGGGGGCCGCCAAAAAACGAGTCAGGATCTAAAACGGATCCCTAAAAATTGTCGAGAATTCTGGGGGTCGTCGTCATGAGCAAAATCATGACGTCGGGGGTCTGTGCTGTGACCCCCTCGCGTCCCCCTCAAGGCCGCGCGCCAAAGGTCACTCTTGCCCAGGGCCGCTCCTGCGTGCAGCCGAGGGGTATGGCATGGGGTCGCAGGAGAGGAGGGGCCCCAGGCGTCCTCGCGGGCCGCCGCTCGCCGACGTCTGTGCACGGTCAAGTCAAGCCGCCGCTGGTGCTTTCGAGGTCCGATGTCCGAGGTTTTCGGGCGTTTTTTTTCAGGAGGGGAGAAAATATGCGCAAAGCGCATTCAGACGCTGGTTTTTCATGAAAGAGTCAAGCAAGATGGAAAGGGGGGCATAGTTACAACGCCCAGGAAATATGACAAACATGTTTGGAATCCTGAAACTGTGTCAATTTATGTGTGTCTCCCTGGGCCCCGCTAGTTTTCGTCAGTTCCCAGACAGGTTATCCTCACTCGGGATGCTTTCCCTCGGCTGCTCCTCGCCGAGGTGTTCCGGGGGTGCCCGGATCGCCCCGAACTGCCGCCGGAGGCCCGAGCCGTGGCCCGAGAACCAGACATGTTCGCGTGTTGACCAAAACACGCGGCAGAAGGTCTTTGGCCGTTTTCGGCCTCCCGGTGTCTTCGATTGGACCCGGGACCGTCAAAACACGGCCCAGGCCGACGAACCGGTCCCCAGGAAGAGGTCCAGACTTCTGGCGAGCCACGCTTCACAGCAAAAAAAACACGGCATCGGATTTCCGGGGCCTTCAGGGGCATTCAGGGCGCAGGGGCGGGGGCATTTCCATGGATGTCAAATTCAGCATCGGCGTTGGGACGTCCGTGGTCGGAAGCCGTCTTGATCCGGCAGAATCCCGCCAAGTCCATTCAATCCGGCTTAAGCTTGGGTTTCGTCCAGCTCAATGGTCCCCGACGCAGACTTAGCAGTTGTTCGTTGTTCTTTCGAAGATCTCCCAGAGGTTGCCCGGATCCGCCAGGACGAGGGCAATTCCGCTCCATAGTTTTTCCAGAACGCTCTCAAGGCGTCCTAGGCTTCTCTGTCTGAGAAGGCCGTTTCGCCCGAGACATCGTCCAGAGCCGCCGGAGCGACGGGTCGGAGGGGGACGGCCCACTCCTGCGAGGGGGGGAGGCCTTGGATGACCCCGACGGTCTGCGACCACTTTCGAACCATATCCTGGTGCGTCCAACCGACGCTGGAGCCTCGGGCACCCCCGCTGGGACTCGCCTGGTAGCAATCATTCTTCAAGGTCTGAGCCTCAGTTTTTTTGTCCCAAGCAGTGCTTGAACTTAGTGGTTTTTACTCCTGTTCTACAGAACTGGGCCGTGTCTTCTGTCGGGCGGCTATGTGGCCGCCGTCGCTGCCCCGTCGCCGCCTCGTCGCCGCCCGTCATCTGAGCCGTTCCTTCGGTGTGGCGGCTACGTGGCCGCCGTCGCTGCCCCGTCGCCGCCTGTCGTCTGGGCCTGCCTGATGCTCTGATGCTCTGCTGGCTGTGTTGCCGCCGTCGCCGCCCCCGTCGCCGCTTCGTCGCCGCCCGTCATCTGGGCCTGACCGCCAGTCTGTCGGCTATGTTGCAGCCGTCACCGCCCCATCGCCGCTTAAATTGCGCACCACGTAGATTCTCCTTTCTTAAAAGGAGATAGGTTCTACCACCCTCTCCCCCCGGACTTAAACACATATGATTCTGACTCAAAATCCATCCTACTATCCCAGCCAGACCGGTATCGATCCCTCCTCGGTCCCCTTGCAAGAAATACTATACGGTGGCATTTTTTGTTGTAACATCGCACTTGTTGGCGAATCCTCTGTAACAAATACCATGCGGGGCACGCGCGCGGCCGCTGCGCGCGCATGTCGAAATCCTTCCAAACACAACGTGTTTTCAACACTTTCAACATTCCGCTTCAAGAAAACCAATGGGGGGAAAACAAACATACGATTTTCTCACCCACAAATTCTGAAACATCTGCCCGCGCGCTCTTGCCGAATCCTTGAATAACCTATGTTTTTGTTCAACGTTCTTGTCAAATTGGGCGTCTTGGGCAACTTTTGCGCGCACGCCGATCTCATTCAACAACGGTCGCGCGCCTGCCAGGGGCACACATCCTTCTTCTTTTAGGAACAAAAAGCATGCGGGGCACATGCGCGCGGCCGCCGCGCGCGCAGTTGAAAAGCCTTCCAAACACATTGCGGTTTCAACAATTTCAAGACAGAGCTTCATGAACTCACACAAATCGTACCATACATCCTCGAAACAAAACTGCGAAACAATTGAACATTCTACCCCCGCGCGCTCTCCGAATCCCAAAACAACCATGGCTGTGCAACATTTCTGTCATGCGAGCAACTTACGCGCGCCCGTCGAACGCCTTCAACATCGGTCGTGCGCCTGCCAGGGCCACCATCCCTTGTTAAAAATACAATGCGGGGCACATGCGCGCGGCCGACGAGCGCGCATGTTGAAATCCTTCCAAACACAATGTGCTATCAACCATTTCAAGACCGAGCTTCATGAATTCACACGAATCGTATCATACAGAACATCAAAATGTCTACCCGCGCGCTTCCCGAACCCTGAACAACAAATGATTTTTCAATATTTTGCTCATGCGAACAACTTTCGCGCGCGCGCCGAACTCCTTGCACATTGGTCGCGCGCTTGCCAGGGACACAATCCCTGGGTAAAAAACACGATGCGGGGCACATGCGCGCGGCCGCCGCGCGCAGATGCCGAAATCCTTCTCGTCGTCGTCGTTGTCGTCGGCGCCGTCGTCGTCGTCGCCGTCGTCGTCGTCGTTGGCGTCGTCGTCGCCATCTTCGTCATCGTTCTCGTCGTCGTCCTCCCTCCTCCCTCGTCGTCGTCGGCGTCGTCGGCGTCCAGAAGCTCTCGACTCACGTCTTGTTCACCAGAGCTCTCCACCCCCTTGTCGTCGTCCGTCGTCGTCGTCGTCGTCGTCGTCGTCGTCGTCGTCGTCCATCCTCCCTCGTCGTCGTCGTCGTCGTCGTTGTCGCTGTCGTCGTCGGCGGCGGTGTCGTTGCCAAGTGCCATGTGGTACCTACCGTCACGGTCTTAAGAGGTCTTGCGACCAAGTTGCGGGTGGGAGGGTGGGGTGTTTGCACGAGCAGTGGAGAGGACAGCTTCAAGACAGTCAAAGTGAATCCTCCTGCCAAAAAAAAAAAGATTTGTTGTACCACCCTCCCCCGCCTGGACTTATCGATTCCCCGGGAACCGATGCAAAACACATACGATTCTGACCCAATGTCCATCCTACTTGTGAGTTCGTACTACGCCAGCCAAACCAGTATCCGTCCACCATCGGTTCCCTTGCCAAAAACTATGCGCGCACACTCGTAGAGCACAAATTATATTTTTCACGAATACCTTACAAAACAACGGAGCGAAGTGCACACGTGCGCGTCGTCGCGCGCGCATGCCGAAATCTTTCAAGAATTCTCGATTTCGGAAGGATTTCAAAAACGAGTGACTAAACAACACAAATCACACCAGGCTTCGCCACGCGGATGTTCAAAAAAAACTTGCGCGCGTTCTTGCGAATTCTTAAGAACGCAATATTTCTCTATATGTCCATAAAATGCTACCAAACGGGCTTCGCGCGCGCATGTCGACATCGTTCGAACGCCCTTGCGCGCGTGCTAGGGTGGCACGATCCGTGTCAAATAAGACCATGCGAGCCACTCTCGCGCGCTTGCCGCGCGCGCATTTCGAATTCCTTCCAAGACCTTCATTACCGACGCGAAGACGTCGTCATCGTCGTCGGCGTGTGACTGCCCTGTCGTCGTTGGCAGCATCGCCGCCAGCATCGCTACTACCATTATCGTGTTTACCATTGCCGGCGTTCCCATGATACCGCGCCCGCCTAAGCCGCCGACTCGCACTGAAGTGCCCGCTGGAATATGACGAGCGGTCAGAGCCACCGCGTTCGCGTCGGTCGCGCGAAACTCGCTGGCCGCTTTGCGCGCGAGCATGCGCGGGCTAGCGCGGCCGCAGAGATGCACCAGCCAACGCTCAGCACTCATCGCAATCGCTCCCGCATGGGTTTTGCAAACCAAATTTCGGGTGCGTGGGTGGGATGATTGCGAGAGCAGTGGAGTTGAGATAATTCCAAGTTCGACAAGTGAACTGCACAACATAGTTTGCACCACATAGACTGAACAACATATACTACACAACAGATTGCACAGCATAGTTTGCACATCGTCGTTTGCATCACGTAAATTGCGCTACATAGAAGGCACGGCAGTGATTGCACAACCCATTATTAACCCCATTGATTGCGCCAGGTAGATTGCACCACATGATCGATGAGGGCGTAGTGGTGGTGTAGACGTGTGTCGGGTGCTATCGCGGGACATATTGCACGTCCGCATCCCACGGGTCAGCGACGAAGCAGCACAGATTGCATCCCTGGAGGCGGTGGTAATGGTGGTTAGTTTCCTTCCGCGTGCAGGACCGAGAAAGGGGAAACAGGAACATGCGTGCGTGAGGGAGGGAGAAGAAGGTGGACAAGGAGGGGGACAAACAAGGGGATGATGACGAGGGGGAAGGGAGGAGGAGGAGCAGGAGGAGGGGGAAGAGGAGGAGGAGGAGGAGGAGGAGGAGGAGGAGGAGGAGGCGGAAAAAGGAGGAGGAGGAGGAGGAGGAGGGGAGGAGGAGGAGGGAGGAGAGGAGAGGAGGAGGAGGAGGAGGAGGAAGAAGAGGAGAGGAGAGGAGGAGGAAAAGGAGGAGGAGAGGAGGCAGGCGGAGGAGGAGGAGGAGGCAGGGCGGAGGAGGAGAGACCAGGAGAGGACATGTGGAGGAGGAGGAAGAGGAGGAAGAGGAGGAGAGGAGGAGGAGGAGGGGAGGAGAGGAGGAGGAGGGAGGGAGGGAGGGAGGAGGGAGGGAGGGAGGGAGGGAGGGAGGGAGGGAGGGAGGGAGGGAGGGAGGGAGGGAGGGAGGGAGGGAGGGAGGGAGGGAGGAGGAGGAGGTGGAGGAGGAGGAGGAGGAGGAGGAGGAGGAGGGGAGGAGGAGGAGGGAGGAGGAGGAGGGAGGAGGAGGAGGAGGAGGAGGAGGAGGAGGAGGAGGAGGAGGAGGA